ATGACGGTTTAATGACAGAGGTCGTGGTGGTCGAGGAAATCGGCCACAACACCACCACACATTCTTGGATAGCAACTCAATTGGCCAGAACTCTCAACTCGGCCATTCACAACCCAATTGGCAACAAACCTCTTATGGCCGAGGTATGAGTTCTTCGAATTTCCAATCCTACTCACCTTCTTGGAACTCAAAATCCTGTCAGGGAAATCAAGGCCAACCTTGCATTGTTTGTCAATTGTGTGATAAACCGGGTCATGGCGAAAAAATTGTCGCTCTCATGGTCAACCATCCTCATATTATTCTAGGCCCCAAGCTAATTTTACTGAAGTAGATTCAAGCCACACCAACGAAAATTGAGTCCTTGATTCGGGTGCCACACATCATATTACTTCCGATCTTCAGAACCTCTCCATGTACTATGATTATGTTGGGAACGAGGATGTTGTAGTCGGTAATGGTAATGGAATTTCTATCTCTCATGTTGGTTCATCTATTATTGATTCTCCTATTGCCTCTTTTACATTAGATAATATCTTGTGTGCACCCTTGATAAAGAAAAATCTAATATGCGTTTCCCAATTTTGCAAACAAAACAATACTTCCATTGAATTTTTTCCTAACTATTTACTTGTGAAGGATTTGAATACGGGGGCATCCTTGGCGAAAGGCCGGAGTAGGCACAACTTGTACGAGTGGTCATCTTTCGCCTCACCTCTCAAGCTGTCTAATCTCACACATTCCGCCTCAGTTGCTCTCTCATCTCAATTATGGCATCAACGTCTTGGCCACCCGTCACCTCCTATCCAACAAAAACTTTTATCTAGCAATAAAATTCCAATTTCAGAATCTTCTAATGTCAATAAAGCATGTGATTCTCATCTTTGAAACAAAAGTCACAAATTATCATTTAAAAACTCTTCTATTAGTTGTGATAAACCGTTCCAAATTGTTTATTCGGACGTTTGGGGTCCTGCCACTGTCACTTCTTTCGGGAATTTTTGATATTATGTTATTTTTATTGATTATTTTGCAAAGTACACCCGGCTATATCCTCTTAAATTGAAATCTGACGTGTTTATTGTCTTTGAAAAATTCAAAAAACTTATCGAAAATTTCTTCCAAACTCAAATCAAAACCTTGTACACAGATGGTGGTGGTGAGTATCAAGCTCTCTTTCATCTCCTAGCCCACCATGGAATCCAACATCTCACCTCTCCACCTTACACTCCCGAGCATGTTGTCTCAGCTGAACGCAAGCATCACCATAGAGTAGAAACTGGCCTCACACTTCTTCATAATGCAACCATACCACTTTGTTTTTGGTCATATGCCTTCCAAACTGCCATTTACCTGATTAATCGCATGCCAACACCTATCTTACATAATGATACACCCTACCATAAATTATTTGGCCACAATCCCAAATACATCACTCTTCGAGTTTTTGGCTGCTTGTGTTATCCATAGCTTAGACAGTATAACACCTACAAACTCGAACCAAATTCACGACCATGTGTGTACCTCGATTTTCCCTCTCTCATCATTCTTTCATTTGTTTCGATATTCAATCAAATCAAATATTTATTTCTCGCCATGTTGTCTTCTTTTGAAAAACATTTTCCATATAAAAATACATCGTATCCTGAGTTATCCATATTTGACCAATTTTTCTCCCAGTTTCTTTCCATATTTACAAGCAAAAATCTGGACAAATTCTCAGCTTCTACTGATGACTCCCTCAATTCCATCACCTTACCAAATTCAGCTCCACATTCAATAATTTCCCAATCTAATTCACTCCTGAATCATTCTCGATCTTCTTTTCCAATCTCGAGTTTTCCATCACCTTCTCCCACTCGCAAGGTTGGTTCTACTCCATCTTTTCAAAGTGATGCTTCTCGACATTCTCCAACACAGGTATGTCATTCTCAACCTTCTTCTCCTCAGCACACATCTCATATCCCTTCTCCTGAACCCACCATAAGAGCATAAAACACCCCAGACCATCCCGTCGCGGTGTCCCACATGGGAGGCCGTGACGCGACCCAATCTGTCCAAACTTCTGAACCAAACTCTTCCACTCTCCCTACCAATGCAGCCATTCGGTATGGTAACCCGTGCCCAAAATAACATCTACAAACCCAAAATACCTTTCTCTCTTCATACAACAACATCAACCTCTTCACCTCAAACCGAACCCACATCATTTACCCAAGCTAACCAACATTCTCATTGGCGTGATGCCATGAGAGAAGAATTTCTTGCCCTACAAAATAATAAAACCTGGTCCTTAGTATCTCACTCACCCACACAAAATATTATCGGATGTAAATGGGTCTATCGGATCAAGAGAAACCCTGATGGTTCCATTGCTTGCTATAAGGCTCGCCTTATAGCTAAAGGCTTTCACAAATGGCCCGGCATTGATTTCATTGAAACCTTTAGCCCGGTTGTTAAACCAACCATTATTCGTCTCATTCTTAATATTGCAGTGTCTCGTGGGTGGGTTTTGAATCAATTGGATGTTAATAATGCTTTCTTGCAGGGCACTCTCTCTGACCATGTTTTTATGCAGCAACCCCAGGGTTTTGTGGACTCTAGCTATCCAACTCATGTTCGTATACTACACAAAGCTCTCTATAGTCTTCATCAAGCTCCTCGAGCATGGTACAATGAACTTCGCTCATTTCTGTTTGCCATTGGTTTTATTAATTCTAAGAGCGATACTTTTCTCTTCATCTACAATTCTGGGTCTCGCACTATGTCTCTTCTTGTGTATGTGGATGATATTATCCTCACCGGCAATCATCCTGCTACCATTTGTGTCTTCACTGCCCAACTATCCAATCGTTTATCCCTCAAAAACCTCGGTAAGCTGAGCTATTTTTTGGGGGTTGAAACATCTCGGTCCTCCGCTGGTCTCTTTATGTCTCAGAGGAAATTAATATATTCTGGACCTTCTTTCGAAGGCCAATATGCATGAAGCAAAGGAAGTTAGCGCACCCTTGTCGCAATACTCAAACTTGATGATGGCTCTCATAGCCATGATCCCATTGAATATCGTCAAGTGCTTGGGTCTCTTCAATATCTTTCTTTTACAAGGCCAGATGTAAGTTTTGCTGTTAATAAATTGGCTCAATTTATGCATCGCCCATCCTCTACTCATTGGAATGCGGTTAAACGGGTTCTTCTTCGTTATCTCAAAGGTACATCTCACTATGATATTTTTATCTCTGCTTGCTCGCCTCTTTCTCTTCATGCATTTGCCGACACCGATTGGGCTGGTGACGCAGACACCCATCACTCCACATCTGCTTAGGTCATTTTCCTTGGCTCCAATCTAATCAGTTGGAGTTCCAAGAAGTAATCTACTTCTACTGAGGTCGAGTATTGGGCTATTGCTGCTGCTACTGCTGAGGTTAATTAGATTACCAATCTTCTTCAAGAGCTTGCTCTATCCCTTCCAACTTCTCCAACAATCTACTGTGACAATGTTAAAGCCGCTTACTTCTGCTCCAATCCTGTGTTTCACTCGCGCATGAAGCACATTGCAATTGACTTTCACCTTGTATGTGACCAAGTTGCTCGTAAGTTGATTCGAATCTCTCATGTTCATACCACGGACAGGGGCGGAGCTGGTAGAGGGCCAGCGGGGGCCATGGCCCCACCAAAATTTTTCAAAATTTTTTTTTGTAACCCCTCAAAATATTTATATTGTAAATGAATTTACTTTATGATCCCAAAATTCATAATATATTCTAATTTGGCCCTTCCAAAATATTATCAAAACACTTATTTACTGGCCGAAAAATAAAGTGTGGAAATAAATTTAACTTATTTCCCCTTTAAAGTCATACAATATCAATTTGGAATCTTTTAACCATACTTTTGAAAACTTAAATATTGCGAAATAAAAATGTAAGTTTATTGTAAAAAAAAAAAAAAAAAAAAAAAATTGTTACTTCATTTGCATATAGACATGTATATTATTTTATGGTTGAATAGCATGTAATTTACCATAAAAGAAAGGGCAGTATTGTAAGTTCACAAAACTTTCTCAATAAATCAAAATTTTCTTGTGTTTTTTGGAAGAAAATTTTATGGAAAAATTAGGTGGTTATGGAAAGTGATTTTCACCAAAATTTTCCGTTTCCTGCTAACCAAACCCCTAAAATGTTTAAAAAATTCCTATTTTCTTTCTTTTCTTACCATTTCCATCTAACCAAACGAAACCTGACGGTGTTTACAAGAAAATTATTTAGAATTATATATAAATCTCTATCAACAATTCTTGGGAGTGGGAAGAAAGAAAAATTGTGAGAGCACGATGGCGAGAATGCCAACAACAATAATGATAGTATATATGTTAATATTTTTAGTTATAAATAAAAAAATCTATAACTACTCATTATATAAATTATTAAAGTACTGCTCTATTTAATCATAATAATTGTGTTTTATTAAACCTTGTGAGATATGTTTAGTTAGAATTATATATTAATCTTTTTAAATCTTTCATTATGCTAATAGTGATATATATTTGTGAAAATAGAATCAAAGTATTAAAAAAAAATCAAAAATTAAAATTTTGAAACAATTACCAAAGAAAAATTGATTTTCTTTCTTATATTAGTTTTCCATCTATTTATTTAGGTTGCAAATTTTTTTTTGGATTATATATTTTCAAGATATATGTATATATACACACCTCGGATCAATATTTATATAAAATAAATATTTTGTTTACAATTTTTTCAAAATTTTAAATAATACTAAATCGGCCCCCAAATTCAGATTCCTGGCTCCGCCCCTGACCACGGATCAACTTGCAGATTCATTAACTAAACCGCTAGCTCGGATGCAATTTCGATCATATTCATCAGTCCAAGCTTAGTGTCCTTCTTGGACCCTTGCGCTTGCGGGGGAATGATAGATCGAGCACAAAGTTAGGCCATTCTATTTAATCACAATTGTATATATTGTAATGAAACACAATTCTGTTAATGAAACACATTACAATATTCATCAAAACTCTTTACCTTTCCCATTGTTGACCTCCCTGCAATATGTGGTCCTCTATGAAACATTCCCTCTTCTGTGGTGGTGTTGGCAGTTGCATTGTGGACTAGGTTACGATCATCTTGCCAGTATCCACCAGGTGGGCTGAGCGCAGCTTGGAATGTGGCTGTTGCAATTAGTACGGCCACAGTCAACACCCCCTGAGACATGTCCTTGTTTGCACCAAGTCCAGAGTGCTTGACTAATTTTTCTTGCTTTGACATCTTTTCTAATTCTTCAAGGGGATCATCATGTTTAATAGATATTCCTCTCAATGCTTTAGCTCGGCATAGCATATCTCCGATCTCTATGTTGACGTCCAATTCCAATGGAAGTTGAAAGATGTCCAAAGCTGTTAAGCCCATGTCATTCTTGGCATTTACCTTAATCTTTCTAATCACTTTTCTGCCTAACAACAATTTCACAGCCTGATTGCACAGTGGATTATCAAGGCATTAGTTAATATATACTCCAATATTCCTGCATATACAACTAAAAGAATTCTAAAAGAACACAAAGAATACGATAAATCACCGTGACGGGTTGTATATATAATTAAGACTCTTGCCTGAGTTTGATTCTTGGATACGGCCATATGCAAGATGGTGTTGCCATCATCATCTGGCCAGTTTAGGATGTCTTCCTTGTCGACCTTCTTTAGCCATCTCACCAACGCCTCAAAAATCCTGCCATCGTAGTATTTTAGAGCAATATGCAGTGCAGTTTCTCGTTTCGTTGTCAAATCTTCAATGCAGTTTGGGCAAGCTAATAGAAACGATCTCAAAAGATTAACATTTCCCTGAGCAATCACATAATGCAAAGGCGTAGTGCCCTCTCCTCCTTTGTCACGAACCAAGTTGCTATCAACTGAGAAGAACCACTTAACCATCCGATGATGCCCACTTCGCAGAGCAAGGTGGATGGGACTAAGGCCATCTAGGTTGAGCTTCTTGGCGTACGAGGGCTTCAATCTCAGGACTTCTGCAGCAAATTGAAGGTTACCCGTTGATGCAGCCACATGTAAAGGAGTCTCAGCTAACAATTTATCCTCGATATTGCGCTCCAAAATACTTTGATCATCTTGAATCAATGTGTACAAACGTTCGATGTTTCCTTCATAAGCAGCCTCCCTCAACCTCCCATCCATTCCAAGACATGCAACTACGGTTATATATATAAATATATAGGTAGTTGAAGAAGATTGCTTCATATGTGTGTATACATATATGTGTGTGTGGTTGTTGAATACGTATGCCGATTGAGCATGCATATACCGTCACTGAGCTCGCTTCTATTTATAAGGAGTCAAACGGCTGGCTGTGTTTAAGTATCCTACCCCTAGTTTATTAGGGTGCCGCCTGAGACATGTCTTTTTTATTAGCTCCACAAAAAAAGACGTGTCCTTGTTGATATCACAAAGAAAGAGGAATCAAAGTAGATTTCCATGCTAAAACAAGGAAGCTCCTAATGGCCTAAGTTAACTGATATCCACAACCTCTTTTCAAAAAAGTACCTAATGGCCGGTCTTCACGGCGTAGTCCCTTCCTAGTTGAAATACAAACCTTTATATCATCGAAAATTCAAATGAATTGAAAAAAACAAAAAAGAAAAAAAACACAAAATGTAACAATTTGAACGTTATTTTTAGTGATAAAGTATTGAAATAAATTAAATGAGATATCATTCATTAACTTAGTTGGTAGAACACCCAGTTCTTCAAACGGGTGTCCGTGTTTAAGTGATTCTATCACTAGTAATGGTTCAGTGAACCAAATCCCTTGCAATTTATGTGGTAAGCTCTTCAAATTTCTCTACCCTGACTCCGTGTGCAGATGCAGTGAGCTTCGAATGTCTATATGGGAAGTGTTTTTGTTCCATATGGACACTACTAACTTGGGCCTTTAATAGCCTTTGCCCCATATATCTGAAAACCCAATAAAGGGCTGCTTTATAGTTTGAAGTTCTCAACAAGAAGAAGTCTGGGCAAACCATTTATGCCTTCTCCGATCAACAACAGAAATTTTTAGTACCTTTTTTAGCCTTGCAAGAAATAGTATTTCAATGCCATCCTCGTCACCACCAATTTAATCCTTGCTCGTTAGAAAAGATGAGAAAAAGAAAATTAAAAGAATAAAAAATATCATTGTTTTAAGACTGTAAAAGAAGTAAAGTATTACTTGTCGTGCTTTATACCGGTTGTTAAGAGGAAAGACTCGAAACTAGTAACTTCTCTCACACTGAAACTTGTAATTTCATGCTTCTGTTAGGAATTATGTCTCAAATTCCCATTATTATTAGTTTATATTTTAGAGTGTATTTTTTATGGTAATTTCTTATAGAGACCGTGAATTGGGCTCTAAGAAACTGTAATCCTTGTCCACAAAGGAATTGGGTATGTGACTTTATAAATAGACACTTAGGCTATTGTTGAGAGTTATGAGTTGAGAGAGATGTAGCTTCATGAAGGAGTACGTTGATGGTAGGGGTGAGTTATGGGTTTGGTAGAGTGAACACTGATGACGAGAGGGAGTCTCGTGGAATACACGAAAAACTCGGTCAAAAGTTTGTGTGCATGGTCCGGTGTTGAAATTCTCTACTATTGTAATATCTCTACATATATAGTGAATTTCTTCTCATCCGTGGACGTAACCTTGATTTTAGGTGAACCACGTATATATCTTGTGTTGTGGTTTGAATTGTTGTTTTTCTTTCTTTCTTTTGCTTCCGCTGTGCCCCAACAACTGGTATCAGAGCCAAAGGTGAAGGAGATCCAGAAAATACAAGAAGTCTCAACATGTGCTACAACAGGCTTCAGTTGTAGGTGGAGTCAATCGGCTTGGTTATATGGCATGGAGCTTAAGTAGTCAAGGTGGTGCCTTGGGGTTTTGACTGATTGAGCAACGTATAGTGGGGATAATCCGAGTTCTGCAATAAGATCGAGAAGATTGAAGTTACAGAGAATTATCCAGATTCAATTGCCATGAGAAGTAATGATTAACGTAATGGAATTTGAGCCAAGGTGGAGATTATTAGGAATTATGTCTCAAATTCCCATTATTATTAGTTTTTATTTTAGAGTGTATTTTTTATGGTAATTTCTTATAGAGACTGTGAATTAGGCTCTAAGAAACTGTAATCCTTGTCCACAAAGGAATTGGGTATGTGACTTTATAAATAGACACTTAGGCTATTGTTGAGAGTTAGGAGTTGAGAGAGATGTAGCCTCATGAGGGAGTACGTTGATGGTAGGGGTGAGTTATGGGTTTGGTAGAGTGAACACTGATACTATTGTAATATCTCTACATATATAGTGAATCTCTTCTCATCTGTGGATGTAACCCTGATTTTGGGTGAATCACGTATATATCTTGTGTTGTGGTTTGAATTGTTGTTTTTCTTTCTTTCTTTTGCTTCCGCTGTTCCCCAACAGCTTCTCCTTCTAAACTTTTTATCATTGCACCAAACAATAACCTTACATTTCAAGATTCAAAAGTGGACATATGTAACGATCCTTACTGATGCTAAAAAATTTTAAAAAAATTCAGCATAACCTCCCCTAAAAATAGATCTACCACAACCTGTTTAAAAATGCATTTTTAACCTGTCATGGCTCAAATTCCGAATTCACGGCAATAGTAAATGATAATACACAATCAAATGACCTCGATAATATTTCAAACTAGTATTTCCCTCCCCATTCATCAATAAGGTTTACATGATATTAAACTCACATCCAAAATATCATCTAGTAACATAATTATATTAACTAACCATGGTTTTGAAAAATAAATACACATTACTACACTTTTGGGGCCTTACAAAAATGGGAGATATACAAAAGATACAAAATGAGCTCCAAGTCATCCTTAAGCTTGTGGAAGATCGGCATCCACTACCTCCTTACCGGTTCCTGGAAAATGTTAAATAAAATGGGGTGAGCATAAAGCTCAGTAGAGAGTGCCTAAGACGCACCTCTTGTAGCCCCGTGAATCCAAACAAAGCATAGGCCAATAGGAAGAGGGGTCATGCAAAATGAGGGAAACACATATTAAATTCCAATTCCAAACAATCATATGTAAAATGCCATGAATGCTATGATATGCGTGTCACTCCCTATTTCTCAGAAAACAACCATACTTTTCAAACTGTTAATATAACCCGCCCTTTGGCGACCCCGCAGCGACACGAGAGGAGGATTGGCTAGTGTTCCTGACCCTTGGTAACCCCTCGACGTCATTATGGGGCCCAGCCAGCTCAACCACGCTAGGGCGACTCCCTAGTCCCCTCTAGGCTATATTAACCTCCGGCCCTTTGGTACCCCCGCGGCGACCAGGTTTCTCAAAAAAAACTTTTTCAACAAAGCTTTCCCGAAAATCCCCATTCTTTCATTTTTCAAAAGTCATTTCCATACGTGCAATCCCCAATGATGAATTCGTGAATGCCACATACTTTCAATGTTGTAATATAAGGGATTTCTAACATTTGTCATGCTGTGACAATATCATAAAATGGGAAATTTAATACTACAATTTATCACACATGCTCACAACAATCAACTAAATATTTAGCATTATAATAAGCATGACAAATCAACCATTTATCACAATTTCCATACAATCTAACAAATACACATAGATACATGTTTCACATACACAATTAAATCATTTAAGGAGTAATCCATCTAAATTAAGCATGCTTATCACATAAGTCAACAAACACACATATATAAAATCTTTATATGCACCATTAAATCATTTTTAAAGCAATCAACCTTAAATCAAGCATGTTTGGCCAAAATTCTAGAGGAATAACTCACTAAGGTACAAGAAAAGTGTGAATTAGACACCTTTACCTCTAATTGAGCAAAAACCCCAATTTTCTTCACAAACCCTAGAAATGGGTCCTAAGATTCGAACTCCAAGGAGTGCACTAAATCTGAAATCGCTTGTATAGATGTGTAGAGCTTGACACGAGCTTTGTTTTGCCTTAAACGGCACTCAATTTCAATAAGAAATGAGATCAAGATCTTGCTTCAAAGTTTTGGAAATCAAAATGAAAAGAAAAACAGAGAGGAAGAGGGGAAAAGAGAGGCGCACAGGAGAGAAGGAGAGAAATGAGACCATTTGTGGTCTCTTGGCCCTTAGTTGGTTTAATGGTAGGTCTCACCACCTTTTATTTTCTTTTTCGTTTAACTTTTTGCTTAAATTTGAGCCATAACACAACATAATACACATATACATACACACAATTATATATACACCTATGCACATAAATACACAGACATTACATTCTCCCCAACTTAAAAGGATTTCGTCCCCGAAATCAAGTCATACCTGGGGAAGAAAACAACTCTGGATACTTGGAGTGAACCTCCTGTTCAAGCTCTCAAATAGCCTCCTCAACTCCGTGGTGTTTCCAGAGAACTTTCACTGATGGTATCGTCTTGTTCCTCAACACCTTGTCGAGAAGCATCACAAAACCCAAAACCATGAATTCACCAACTTTATTGCCTTTGACACTAAACATCACCAGGAAATCACATACCACTGCCATCAAAACCAAATGCGGTACCCATCTCTCACCTCATTATGACATAAGACCAACTAGGCTCTACGCCTGACTCAAAACGAACATCAGTTCACTCTACACAGTCACGAAAGGTTCTAAAATCTGAAAAATGAATAGTCGCCAGACCACCAGATATAACAACGTCCAACCCAACTCATCCTCTAAGGGACACACTAAACCCCAAACAAGAAATCCCATCCATCTCTCAATCCATCTCAACCCTAATCTACACGTCCCTGACGGACTAAACACTTGTTATCTAATACGTAGCTACACCATTACATAACCGTACCAATAACTACTAATTGCACTATATGATAATCACTATACTTATCGACCTCAAGATGACCAAACAATAATTCTCCCAACAACTGCATAGACATTTGTCACCCAATCAGTAAAGCGCACTGTCCTGTACCCAAGACACAACCTCAAAACAAGATCCTTAGTAATCAAACGGATTTGATACTTGGTCCTACCTAACACACCTTGTCACCGAGACAAACCACCTGAATCCACACTATCACACCGACACAATTCATAATTTCGTGCTCTCACTGTTTTTGACAAACTAAAACA